ATAATAATAATAATTATTATTATTATTATCATAATAATAATAATGCTTGTCAGGACCTTCTAGGGCTGACTAGGATACAATATCCAAATGGACAGATGGGGATACTCGATAAAGAAACTCCTTCTTTCAGGAATCGAACTAACGCCTTTTTCGTGGAACGATAGGCCTAACCACAACACCACACAGTTTTAATGTTCCGAACACACAGTTTATCGAGCGTTTTTTCTATTGCTTTATTTTGTAAAAATATTCTTCTGAACTTAATATTGAGTTTGTAGCAAGGTTTCACAATTTTCAAGAGTGTTCATACTTGGCAAAAATTCATCAATATTTTGAGTTTATGACTTCAATTGTTTCTCGATTGTGGCACTCAGATGTTTGGTAACGTCCTAGGTTCATCTGTAACTATTAACGAAATAGAATGTAGGAGTCTATCCTGATCGTCATTTGAAAATTTAAAAAAATATTATACAAATGATTATCGATTTTTAATAAATTAACAACTTACCAACAACCTTAATCTTGATAAGAGTGATCCTGATAGAATTACTCTCGTTAATAGTAATACTGTCCCCGTTTTTTTTTATGCACCCCGCATAATTTAGCAAAATTTGATCATTTTTGCATAATTTCTGATTATTTTCCATGATCATTCTTTGTTAGAAATAACAGATTCGCATAATTTCACATTTTTGAGCTCAGTTTGCATAATTTCAAATTTTTGGGCTCAGTTTGCATAATTTGAGAATTTTTCTTGCATAAAACAACGGGGACAGGTGATAGCAATTGCCAAGTCTTTAGTTTGGTGTAATTGTTGTTCACTATGTTGTTCTCTATCTTCACGTTGATGTTGATGGTAGTCATTGTGACGGTGGTCAAGATATGGGTGAAAGTCAAGTTATTTTCCTTCGGTATTTAAGTTACTTTGACTACTGTGAATGTCGAGGCATCACTATCCCCTATTGTAGCATCGGATTCTAGATTCTAGATTCAGCGAAATGTCTCCGATTATGTCGTAATCTTTTTTTCTGCCGTCCATGCTGATTAAACCTGTCGTTATCATTAAAGAAATCCAAGAATGTCACTGCTATGAAAACAAACGACCAACAAACAAAATAAAGCAAAATTTAAAAAAAAGGGAAAAAACCCCAGCAAGAACAAAAAAACAACAACCCCTTCCTGGGGGGGGGGGGGGGGGGGGGTTAGGAATTTACCAGAAATAAGACATTGTCGGCCGCCGGGCAATTGGATCAGTTTTTTAAAAAAATCATGGCTTCTAGTGCTGATCATTGTGATTCAAATCTCCAGTGATGGGGTGTTCTTGAACTAAAGTTAGTTATTTATTGTGTCATTCAGAAGACTCTCCACTTTCTTGGCCTAGCTCTACAAGTTGTGCTTTTATTTGTTATAAGCCCTGCTTATCCCCAACATAGAATAAACCAGGGAACAGATGCCGCACTGCTCCAAATACAAATCCTTATTCATTGCTGCCCAAAGGTTCCCTTCATGTCTCGATGTGTATATACTGTGCTAAAACAAACTCCCTTCCAAATGTCATGCTGGTAAAAGTCAACAAAGGGACAGACAAAGACAGAGAAAATTGAGCCCAACACATGCAAAACTTGGAAATGTGAATCTTTATTTAAGCAGAGTAGCTTAGGTTTTTAAAAAATGTTTGTTAAAATTTTATTCCCCAGAGATGAATGTGGTCTGAATCAATACTATTGCGTTTTTCAGATCTGTGGAAATAGAATTCCATTTCTCCCGCCTAGAATCAAAGCACTCCCTGTTTTCTCGTCTTCTAGTCAACACTGTGGGTGGTCGATGGGCTCCACTGCTGGGTCCTATATCTCTTCTGTCTATCCTTTTTTTTTCTCTATTACCCTTTCCTTACACTCAAACAAATTAAATGACAATTCTCGTGCCATTTGTTGGTATGATTCTCTTTTCTCCAACTTACACGTTTTCTTCTTCCCCTCGGTTTTTCCGTCGCTTCTGCAGTAGAACTGTCTCTTTCTTGCCTGTGTTGTTTTAAATTTGTATGCCTTGTTTTTATCTTCTGTTAGGTTCTCCCCTTCCTCTCCTGCCTTCAAACTTTGCTTCCCAAATGTTTATTTCTAGTGATTCATGGCGTTTGATATCCCCCTCCTCCAACCCCCCCAACAAAAACAACTAAAAACAACCTACCAGACCCCCCCCTCAAAAATAAGTTCAATTTTAGTTTCATTACGAACTAGAATCAAACTAATCAATATTAATCCGTCTTATCTCTGTGTCCCTCCAGGTATCGGTAGCGGCATCGCCTCGGGGGGCTACGCCACCAGCGGTATGAACACCATGGGTCCCTCCATGTCCCCGATGCCCTCCGCCATGTCCGCCATAGGAGGTGGGATGAGCTACTCACCACAGGCTATGGGAGGGATGGCCGCCATGGGCAGCATGGGGTCTATGGGAGCCATGGGAGGGATGGGCTCCATGTCTGCGATGGGAGGGTACGGATCGATGTCAGCCATGAATACAATGGGAGGTATGAATGGGATGTCCGCTATGGGTGGAATGTCATCGATGAACGGCATGAATCGTCCCTTGGACGCCAATCTCATGTCGATGGATAGAAACGGGGCTCTGAACAGACCGCGCACTGACAAGAACTACAGGCGCGCGTACACTCACGCCAAGCCGCCCTATTCGTACATCTCACTCATCACCATGGCGATACAGCAGTCGCAGAATAAAATGTGCACCCTCAGCGAGATCTACCAGTTCATCATGGACCTCTTCCCATTCTACAGACAGAACCAGCAGCGGTGGCAGAACTCCATCCGGCACAGTCTCTCGTTCAACGACTGCTTTGTGAAGGTCCCACGCACGCCCGATCGTCCGGGGAAAGGAAGCTACTGGGCGTTACACCCAGACTCGGGGAATATGTTCGAGAACGGTTGTTACCTAAGGCGCCAGAAGAGATTCAAGTGTCCGAAGAAAGAAATGATTCGTCAGTCGTCCCATAGGAGTCAGGATGACGACGGTTCACTGAACCCTGACGACAGCATGCACTCGGGAGACGAGCACAGTCCGATGAGCTCTCCTATCCCAGGGGTTCCCTCGCAACATGGCCCGTCTCAACCACCACCCCGCACCTCCCCACGACCTCACGACCACCACCAGCAACAATCTCAACACCCGCACGCGCAACAACAGCAGCAGCAACAGCACGCACAGCAACAGCAACAGCAGCAGCAGCAGCAACAACAACAGCAACAACAGCAGCAACAGCAACAGCAATCGCAAAGCTCCGGCGGAGGCTCCATCCAGCCCAAGACGGAAGTGATGAACAATTCTTCTCCACATCCCCAGGAACTGGCCCACCCACCACCCGCCCAAAGCCTCCCGCCTCAGGTGTCCTGCCACACCCCTCTGTCCTCGCAACCTTCTCTGCCCTCCTACCATCACAACTCCCCAGCCGCCGAGCTCTCAAACGTCCGATCTCTCAACGCGCAGGACTACGGCTCTCAGCTCACCTCTCAGTCTCTGGGCCTGCACTACCCGGCCGGCCACTACGCACCACACCCGCACCACCACCATCACCATCACCAACAAGCCGGACTGCATCAGCTGGGCCCCAACCACTCGTTCAACCATCCGTTCTCCATCAACAACCTCATGTCTGAGAGCAAACTGGATATGAAGTCCATGTACGACATGGGCTACGGCGCTTACGCCCAGATGTCACCCCTCACGATGGGCAAGGATCCCTCCCCTCCCGTTATGGCCGCCCACCACGACGCTGGAGGTTACTACAAGGCCTACCAGTCCACGGTGGATTTATGACATCCGGATAGAGCCTCGTTTGCGACAGCGAACAGTCACAGTCACCCAACACACTCGTCTGTCCCGTGTCTGTAAAGATACCAGCTGCAAAAAGGACGCACTGGTGTGAGTGACTCAAAGCGTGTCAAAAAAAGACACACACTGTGAAGCGCTCGGAGTTGACGTCAGGGCGTCCCACATTACGTGTCTCTGTGGAAAACACGTTTGGACGCTCTCAGATGTGTCCACATGACGTCACGACATAGCGCATTTTCATCTTCATGACAAGTGAGCAGATCTTTCGGGTATGTGTTCGCAGGAGGGAAGAACGCGGTGTATACCTGCGCGCAGGCGACATATATCTACTCAACAGGCGGACCTTCTAGTGTCTGCCTGGCACATTTATTCTCATCATTATCATCATCATTGTCATCATCATCACGAAAATCGTCATCTCTGCTTCAGAAGTCGATGAAGCATATCTCTCTGACTCCTTTCGCAGTGGCTTATTTCACTGCTTTTGTCTGTTTTAGATGTTTGTCGTTGTACGTTCCATGTTAGAGCAGCTGATCCGACGCTGAAATCTCCACTTGACCTCTCAGATTGTGGATTTGGATCAAGCTCTATGGAATGTAGACAATCTGAGGGTGTTGTTTGACATTCTGAAAAAAAAAACCGTAACAACAAAACAACCCAGCTGTCAATTGCTAAACCTTTCTTCGGTATCTCCTGTTTTACTGGGGAATATCTTGACATCTGAAAAGCAAACGACAATTACGACATGTGAAAGTTCTTTCAAGGACTCTTTATTGTGGACAATCACTTAAAATTATATATTGTAATAATTTGCTTTTCTTCATGCATTGCACCTCTTATGACTTTCATAAAAATATAAGTACAAATACACAGATTTTTATGTAATTTGTTTTATGTTTTAAAATGTTTCTGAGAAAAATGAAGCCACCACAGGGCGATTGGAACGAAGGAAGGAATATTGCACTGCACTTTTAAGGCAGAATGGCCTGTGATGTCAAGAGGGAAGCTCTGTTGAAGTGTCATTGAGGAAAAAAACCCCCAAAACAAGAGGTTGGTTTTATGTGCACTTTGTGCAAATAGAAGGGTGATAACGCTTTGCCCATAATATTGTTGTGGCTAACACTGCTTTCGAAGAACAGGGCACGTTGTTGACATTCGGGCATTCTTGTTGAAAGTGAAGATTGCAACGTCTTGTACTTTTTGAGTGGGAGTTTAGACTTATGTTAAATTGAAGATGAATAATATTTCTTATGACTGTATTTTGTGTGATAATATATGTTCGCTTGTTTGATCAAGAATGTACGTATGTGTGTGTGTGTGTGTGTGTGTGTGTGTGTGTGTGTGTGTGTGTGTGTGTGTGTGTGTGTGTGAGAGAGAGAGAGAGAGATAGATAGATAGATAGATAGAGAGAGAGAGAGAGCATACATTTTTTGTCTAATAAATAAATAAATAAATAAATAAATAAATAAATAAATAAATAAATAAATAAATAAATAAATAAATAAATAAATGGTTTCAGCCACAGAATATAAGTTCACATAATTCTCTGACGTCATGCTGTTGGATTGAGATAGATAGATCTTGTGGTCTCATCTGAAAGCAATCACAGGGCCCAAGAGATAGAGGGGTTAATTGATAAACGGGAAAATAATACGCTGCTATCCCAGTTAATCAGTTTCCCTCTTTATCTGTTCTGAATCCAGAGATGATCCTGTGTTTCTTCAAAGGCGGTTTTGTTGGGAATCCCACTTTCTTCTAGTCACTTGTCTCTCGGACCGTACTGTCTATCGGGGAAGTGAAAAGTCCCTTGCTTAAGGTATCCTTATGTATCTCATTGTTTGTTCCTATGGAACTTCTTCCCATTCCCTCCTCCCCCCCTCTCTCTCTCCATCCCTTTCTCTCTCTTTCTGTCTCTCTCTTCTCCCTGGCTTTCCCTTCTCTCCACTCCTTTCCCACTCTCTCCTCTCCCCCCCCCCCCCCCCACTGGATCTCTGCTGTTGATTAGCAAATTTGAGAACGTTCGAGATTCGAACTCCCATGGGATGAAATTTTGCCTGTCCTTTCTTGAATACTTTTCATCTCAGCCTAACGCTCTGGCGTAGTAACCAGTGCTTAACTCTCGCAAGCATTTATTTTATGTAATAAAGAAGACAGTAATATTCACCACCGTCTCCATTCTTTGTTTGTTCGCCTGTTAATCTGTCTGTTCTAATTTTACTCTCCGCACTCCTCTTCTCTTCTCACTACCTACTACAACCCAAGTGACAACAATGTCCCTTCCCTCCTACCCGTCCTCTCGTCTTTTAGTAATTCCATAAGATTGGAAAAACTATCTTACCGGACCGTAGCTATTCTAGAAACCAGTTAATTGCTTTCACTGTCAATTACAAGGTGCTCACGTTCCAAGAATGTGACAGGCCTGTGCTTTACGTTGCTGTCTTTGCATTCTTCACAGATGTACCTGCCTCCAAAACTGCGCTAAATGTTGATTACTTTTAATGTAGTCTGGTGTGCTTGACATATCTTTCAACCTTTGTTTCAAAAGTAAAGCGTAAATGAAATTGTTTTTCTGTTTATATTATTTATTATTCTTTTGTTTTGTTTTATGTGATGCAATGTTATACATATCAAAACCAAAACACATTACACTTCTAACGAATGTATTTGTGTACACAATGCTAGAATACCAAAGACATCATAGGTGCCCTCTGAAAGCCATACACCATGGTTCTAAGTTACGAAGTAAGGTGTGAACAGCCTTTGCAAAGCGGTTCATTTTCTTTTTATTATGTTTGCTGGAGTTGAATATTTCTCTGCTTATGGGTATGTATGGAGACAAATGAAGGGATGCGGAAAGAAATAATTTGCAATGTTTCCTTATAGCCACCCCCCTTTTTTAAAATCACATAATAAATAAATAAAGTACGGTTACTGGAACAGTAGATTAACAGAATAGTTTTTAAAAAAAAGAATAGTACCAAAAGAAAAATTCACGTGCCCTCTCGTACACTAAAATAAAAAAAAGCAGCATTTAACGAGCAAAGCTCAGGTATTCAGAGATGCGTGATGTGTTTAACAGCACAAAAGAAAGAAACAAATTGCACCCGTAATGCTTAGGCGCCTCACATGATAATTTACTTGATTTCCGTAACATTATACAAAAAAACAGGTCAGCAAACACAGTAGTATGTTCTGCTCAGAGTTATTCCGAAATAAAGTGTTCAAGTAACATTTATCCGGCAGTCTTATGTTGATTGGCACAAGTATCAATAATTCGACTCTTTTTTAGTTCCAAATGCCACTCCCATCAAATATTAGCCGTAACCTTGTATAGCAACACATCAATATGCAGGGCAGTCAGGGAGACCCAGTCAGTGCATAGCTTACTGAGACACGCCGGAGGCTAGATAACACCTGCAGTTTGAACTCGCTTGCCTCTAGGCGTCGATTTGGTGGCATACCGAGAACCGGACTCGTCATAACAACAGCCGCACCTAGGACAACCAGTCTGTTTTCTTCTAGAACACCGGAAGTCCTTTCCAGCTGAAGAGGATTTCTCTCTCAAAACTCTCAAAAGTTTGATTCAGATTTGAATTTCAACTCTTTACCACACAGTTGGGTTTACGATGATGTCAAAGAACGGAAGTAGTAGGGCTCTTGGCATGTGCGTTTCTTGGTTTTTACTACTTGGCTTGCTTGGGTAATTTTCGTTTAGCTCTTAACTTGAACTTCGAGAGAGAATGCATTATGCTTGAGCTAACCCTAACAAAACAGAAATGCGCTGTTGTGTTTTCACTATTTCTCTTTTCTGTTATGCAACTATTTTCATCAGTTACGAGAAAAACAAATCATAAGAATATATATGCCCTAAAAGTTCCCCGATTCTGAGGCGCAAAGAATACCATTGGTTAATAGGATAATCTGAGTACCAAAAAAAAATACTACAGTAGACAACTTCCATTAATTTGTTGTTTAAATAATCTCCGAGAAGCCCAAAAACTGTAAAACGATAATGACGTATTGCTAAAAACACCTCATGACACGCTTCCCCCCAGAAAGTGACGTCAGGAACTCAGCCAATGAGCGCTGTGAGTAGATAAAAACGTACTACATGTACCTTTTTGTTTGCTCACTTCCATTACTAGCAGTACTGCTTTTTCAGATTTAAAAGGGGTGGGGTTGGAGTGGAAGGAAAGGAAAGGGGGTGGGGTGGTGGTTAGGTATGGTGGGGTCGATCTAATGTTCGGAGAACAGTAAAGCTAATGGCATCTCTTGCGCGACATAATCTGGTGTCATTGATTTATGATTACCACTTATTTTTTATTGCAGGATGAGAACTCGACACGAGAGCTGGGTAAGGGAAGGGAAGAAACCAAACAAAACAATAGGTGCCTGGGTGCGAGCGTGCACACTTCTGGGTTCAGAGAAACTAGTCGTTAAGGGAATCGATGTGCGAGTACTATTTGACGAGACGGAAGGGAACTGACGGAGCGATAGAATGGGTGAGGAGGAGGGATTGAGAGAAGGAGAACAGAAGGGATGTAGAAACTCACTTGCGAGAGTATATGTTTTGATTTTGCTTTTTGTGTTCGTGTATGCACGTTAGAGAAGGGAGAACTGTAAATGAGTTAGGTGGGGGAGGGAGAGAGAAAGGGGGAAAAGAGAAATGGATGTAGATAGTCGAGTTACTGTTAGAAGATATTCCTTCATATTCATTATTACCCCCCCCCCCACACACACACACACCCAAACAAACGGAAAAACAAAACATTTGATAGCTGATAAACCAAGCTACCATTAGAACCCTTTTGAGAGCAAGACATAGAGTATGGAGACATACTAGTGGAAATTATCGAGGTTAACATATTTTCAAAAAATCAAAATCGTATAGGAAAGAAAGTAAGCTAGTGAGACCCGTGACCTAGTTGGCGTGGCATTCTTTCTATAGTTCTTTTCATGTTCTCCAGCGCGACACTTGCAGCTCTTTCGTTCTCCCCCTGACAGACTCTCTCACAAATTGGGGTTAACGAGTACGGGCTATTTATCTCCAACCCTAACACTAGCACTAGCAGCTAGCAGCAGCAGCCCAGCGGTGAATTGGCACGGGAGACCATGCGTCCTACCACAGATGCGTGACGGCGGACTGGGAGGGTTAACAATCTGCACGCACAACGCTATGATACGAACGCTATGGCAATCTCAATCCTGCTTATAGCTCAAAGTTTAGTTGTTTTCCTTACCGAAAAAAAGACGAAAAAAGAAAGGAAAATGTAAACTCAAATAAAATTTCTGAATTTCAAAAGCAAGAAACTAGTTCTGGATTTATCAGATTACGACGTTCGTCTACACAATGATGATAAGAAATCTCCGAGGTTTAATCCTGCGACTATTTAATACATGCGTCCCGTAAATTGTTATCGGCATCGAATGTGTTAAATTGAAACGTGAAGCTTACTCGATGTTTTTTAAACAACTAATCATTTCCCGTAGATTCTGGGTTGCTCTTTTCGGATTTATATTATGATTTTTTGGGGGGAAAGCAGGTATGATAATAAGTGGCACTTTTACCAAAATAAATAAATAAATGAATAAATGAATAAATAAATGAATGAATGAATGAATGAATGAACGAATGAATGAATGAATGAATAAACCCGAATTGCGCCCATGAAGTCATGTCAAAACATTTACTCCCTTGTTTAACAAAGATTTACCCTCAAGGATCTACACGTTCAATGTTATTATGTAGTAGAAAGTTGTATGTCTCGTGTGATAGTGGTTTTGAAACCAGGTAAAAAAACAAAGGCGAAGTCATTGATCACCCTTACCATTTTCATGTATCCACCCTCACATTTTAGTGTTCGTTAGAGTATTAGCTAGCTGTGTTTTGGTTTGTATGGTATCGCTTTTACAAGGAACAACGGATGTTGGAAACCTAATTGGTATGTTGGTATTCTGGGCTAATGAGACATTTCTGGTTCGAGATTTACTGTACACGGGGGAGGGAGAGGAGGGGGGGGGGGGGTGATTGCACG